CAGACCAGAAGCGAGTTCCGCTGGACAAAATTCATGTCCACCAAAACAAGCTGAATGTCAACTCCAAAAGTAAAAGGGCTTGATTTTGGAGTATTTTAGGTTACAAACCAGTAGAAGACATGGCAATGTTTCTTCCTGGCAGCAGAAGAACAAACGATACACTAGACCAAGTTTTTCTGCGCTGGGCTGCCTTTTAACCCTCTCAATAAACAAGAAATGATGCCTTGTTTTGAACATTTTAAATTGTTAATCTTTATTTAGCAGTAACAACATGTAACCTAACCCACTTGTGCTCTTTCATTCCTTTGTTTCCAAAACAGCAATGCGTTGCGAAATCGCTTACTGTTCTTCCACGTTCACAATAATTAACAATTATTGGACAAGGTTGAGCAAAACATCGTGATTTGTCAGTGGGGAGCAGATCAATGCAAATAATTGATCTGCGAGACACTGACAAATAACGAAATTTTGCGATAACCGAGTTCAATAATTGCTTTATCATNGTTATCCGGACGGAAATGTACTTAAACCACCCACCACTAAAGCGTAGCACACTGGTGATGTTTACTCTTATCGACAGACCAGAAGCGAGTTCCGCTGAGCAAAATTCATGTCCACCAAAACAAGCTGTGAATGTCAACTCCAAAAGTAAAAGGGCTTGATTTTGGAGTATTTTAGATTACAAACCAGTAGAAGACATGGCAATGTTTCTTCCTGGCAGCAGAAGAACAAACGATACACTAGACCAAGTTTTCTGCACTGGGCTGCCTTTTAACCCTGTCAATAAACAAGAAATGATACTTTGTTTTGAACATTTTTAAATTGTTAATCTTTATTTAGCAGTAACAACATGCAACCTAACCCACTTTGTTTCCAAAACAGCAATGCGTTGCGAAATCGCTTACTGTTCTTCCACGTTCAGAATAATTAACAATTATTGGACGAGGTTGAGCAAAACATCGCGATTTGTCAGTGGGGAGCAGATCAATGCAAATAATTGATCTGCGAGACACTGACAAATAACGAAATTTTGCGATAACCGAGTTCAATAATTGCTTTATCATTCGATCACAAATTTGTTTTCTTATTTAAATCACTCTCTGACAGCTTAGGTGAGCAATCTGCCATTTTTCACCAGAGATCATGGTCACAATTACGCATGAGCAGAATATGATTTGCAGCGAATGGAATCGATCTTACCATGCGTCAGTGCACGCGC